AAAACACGTCTGTGGTCAGTTAACCCTTTGCTATCAGACTCGACGTAAGAACGTTTGCCTTCAGATATCGTACAATGATAAATTACAAATGATAATAAACCATTTCTTTATGCATCAATATTACACCGAAACTCAGTATTGTATAACCAATAATACTCTGAAATAGTGAAATAAAGGGAACCTAAACGGTACTATTTGAACCGCAAAGTGTTAATACTCCAAGGGAATCATCAATTTGCCGTATTTTCTGACAACGGTGACGTTGAAAGTGCCATTTTAAAAGTGCGCTTTACAAAGGAAAGAGGAAATTTTCATTCGACGAAATAAGAAATTCTCAATTCTTCTTCTCTAAACGAATTAATTACAATCCTCAACTCACGTTGTCGCCGATCTTCCAAATTTTCCACTAAAATTTCAAATCGAAGAAAAATCGACGACCAATTCCCCGACTACGTGCATCACAAAAGAACGTTTCATCGGAACGCACAGAAGAATTATTGCCGACAAATAAAGGAATAGTTGTGACGGAAGGAAGGAAGGGAATACAAGGCGCAATCTCATTATTTGCGTTCTCCTACGACGAAAGCTGTTTAAAGATGATATAATATCGCTCGACAGTCGAGAGGCCAGGTATGAATAATAGGTTGAAGGAGAGGTTTCGCAAACGAAAGGAGGGATCGGAAATATAGAAGCGCAATGTTATTACAACTTAATACACGGAATTGTTCTGCTGCGCGAATATTCGTTTAACGTTCACAATACACCGTGCTACAATAAGCGGATACACAGAGTTCGGCCTCCACGTTTCGAAGGTGGCTCCGTAAGCATTATGGGCTTTAGTGCTGGTGGTATCTCAGCGTGGCAACCCTCCCACGTTCGGTCTATAGAGAACCCCCTTGGACTCGCTTCGAATAGCATTTCGTTCCATTATTCATAAACATTTTATAATCTTCTTAGCGTGATGAATTATTGCCGCTCACACAATTGAAATAATGTTGTGTATTCGTGGGAGTGGTCCTGTTTCGACCACACTCTCTCTCTCTCTCTTCTGTGTACATCGAAAAACGCCGCGCCGAAGGAAATCGAAAAGAGAGAGAATGGAAAAGGGGTGGCGGAGGAAAGAAGACAGGAGGCGAGGCGAGGAAACGTTGGCACGGAAACGAGAAAATAGAACGAGTTCGTTCACTGAAGTGGTGTTGAAATGTTTCGAAGCGAGGGAAAAATAATTGGACGAAGAGTCTGTCGTTACTATGGCATTGGAGGAATGCGGACCGCTCGAACGATGACGAAGACAACCGTCGTGTCTTTCCATAAAGTCGTCGAACCGAGTTCCCTTCTTAAACTCCTCGTTACCGAGAAGTCTTTCGCTACCTTTCGAACTACCAATCTAGGTAGCATCATCCGATAAGGAAAGTTATTTGAGAACAATGAAAAGACTGCCAATAACTTTCGAGAAGATTGTAATTCTTCGAGACGTTGTCTAACAAAATCTACGAAACGGAAGGATATTTGTCGCTTTTAAGTGCTTACGATTCCTGCTCACGGCGAAACATCCCCTATTACTCCTCCTTTTTTCTCATTTTCAACCAATTCGTATACCTGCAGCTACTATTACCCTTCTTCCGCTTAACTTTGCACATTTTCACTTCAAATATTTCATCTTCCCGCTAAAAGATTTGAATATACAGCAAGATTTGTTATTTCCCAAATTTCCTACTCGTCTTCGCTTCAACTTTAGAATTTCGTGACCGGAAAACTATTAAAATTGAACCGATCCAACTTCACCTGAGAAGAACATTTACGAGCACTTCGAATTCAGTTTGTTTTTTCCAGCCAAATTTCGACGTTCCACGGAGGCAATTATTGAAGCACAGGACTCGCTTACAATTAGGACGCTGAACCTCAACCGTGTAATTCTATTGGCTGCTGTGGTAGACCTGAAGTGATACACAGATGAAGTCGTAGAGAAGAGATCTTCCTGATCTCTCTATTACGTCGCGGATTAGTTAGTTATGAAACTCAAGTGAACCCGGGCGACCGGTGATGAAGCATGTTCCGGTAAGTTTCCTTCAGGACGGAACCAGTACGAGGGATGTAACGGCGGAGTTGCACGGGATAAGCGATCGGTCCCTTTCTCTGGAAACCATATTCAACCCATCGAAACTTGATTACAGACGTTTAAGGACGATTATAATTACGGCCATTTATATACGTCCGCACGTTAAACTATTTTCCTCGGTTAAACTGTGCTCTATTATGCATAATCCTTCCTGTATCGAACAATTTCACATTCTCCTCTCCGTACCTGGTAATTTCACAATCCTACTTTCACCCCCTTAAATTCTTCCTTTCGTCGAATTTTATTGATTACAGAAACTAATTTCGCCGTAAAATTTCAGTATTTACGGATCAAATGGCCTCGTTTCGACGTTGAAACGGAGGTCATTGATGGAAAAACACGTAAAAGTCCTCGATACGATGTATCAAAGAAATATTACTTCTCTTCTGAATTTAATTGCATTACGTTTCATCGAGTAACGCGATAACGAAAACTTCCAAGTCGATTTTCCTGAAACGAAGCTTTGGCGAATACGCTCTTTTTCCATCGAAGGAAGAAATGATCAGCGATCCTTGTAAACGATCGATGTTCCGAGTTTTAGCAATCGATCAGAAGAAAATCGCGATATTTCGCGTTCGTGTAATTGTAATTAAAGAGCCTGAAAAGCGATGGTCCTGTTTTTCAACAAAGAGCCGAAAGACTCGAGGACAAGGACAGTGGCCATGGTACAACTAGACAGGGGTGGCGGACGAGCAAGAGGAATACGGTCTTCGCGAAGCAAAGGAGCATGCCTCGGAACGTCGTAAGAGTCTTTCCCTCGAGTACGGTTTTCACTTCCATCCTACAATCATGTCTGGTGAATTCACATTGCAAATGTTCGGTACCTGCCAAAGACGACGGGTGGCCACGTTACGTCACCGGCTGCGAATCAAAATCTTATTAACTGTTGAAAGTGAGTTTTACTTTAAGATGGAATTTAATTACACTCGCGCTTCGTTGCCTCTTCTCCCCGTCTCTTCTTTCTTCAACGTTCCTCTCCCTGTAACCTATTTCGTTTCCCATCTCTCTCTCCCTTTCATATTTTCTTTCCGCTATTTATGTCTTCAGGATTGGTCGTTTTGCACGATTACTTCTCTCCTTTGCCCTCTCGAACTTCCTTGAAATTCGACCGATATTCCACTACAAGTAGTCTTCATTTTCGTACCAAGTCCCTTCTGCCTCGCCCGGCAGAAATTATTCTTCCCTCGCCGTTTGCAAATTTTCCTTTCCTCTGCAGTTGTTAAGGTTTTACAAGCGATCTTTACAGATTCGTATTTCTTCTCGCTGGCGAAGATCTAAACGTGACAACGGCGGATTTTCAAACGCTGTCGCGATCGTGTCACTTCTTTTCCCGTGTTATTAGCCGCGGATCGTTAGCGAAGTTGAGCGCGATAGTGAGAATATTCCCGGAGGCAATTGCTTGCTTTAAGATGAGCACTTCTCGCGCTATTCTCTGATCAATTTAAAGAGCATCGTTTATCTAGTTAGACGTTTCGAACAGTGTTTGAGTTTCTTTAGAATTTAGGAATAGTTGTGGTGGTACGAGAAAATTTTCGTGCATAATTTAAATGGTTTCGAAGGGTGAATTTGCACGAAATATAGGAGAATATTTTTCAGCGATGATTACGATCATAGTCTTCTTACTCTTACACTTAAATACTACTGTCATAATAAAGTCACATGCTCGATATGAAATAATTAAAAAAAAATCAAAACAAAATAGAAGAATACGAAATATCAGCTTGAAATTGAAAATTGAACGATAAATATTAATACCATTAAAGTTTTATTATTCCAACACGTGGATCGAACGTGGAGATACTGTTTCACTTGCTCTAAAATTCTCAGATTTAAATGTTTCAGATTATGACTTGCGAGACGTTTCAAATCGAGAGTAGGGAGTATTAAAAATGAATATCAAACGAAGCTCGTAGGAGTAATGAATTCATGTTCAATCTCGAAAAACACGTTCTTCCACTGAACCGTAAATAAGTAACATTTCATATTCTTCTCTGTTATTTTAATTTCTCAAACATCGCTACAAAGTGTATCAGTGAAATTAACAACTTGTAGGACACGTTAATATTTTTAGATGAAAATAATTTTCATATTCAGATGGATCCAATAAAAGGCTAATATCGAAATGGAAATACGCAATTCTCATTTCACGGTAAAATATGAAAATGCTGCCAGAAATTTTGTATTTATTGATTCATTGGCAAAGTCTCAGATAAATGCAAGTATTCACGTAGTTCGAAGGAAAAACTTCAAACTTCGAAAAAGTGTTGAAAAAAAAAAAAAAGAACTAGGTCTCTAGCTTCTACTTTATACATATTGAACAGATATTGCACAAGATCCATACTTCAAAAAATTTCGTCACATAGCTCCAACATTAATTCCATCGAACATTTATAATTTCAGGTAACATTATCGGTAACACAAAATAACACGTTGATAATCTATATGTTCAAATTCTTCTACGACTCCTTTGCCGTGCATATTTGCAATAAGCGAAGCGTTCATTCTTTAACACGTTCGCTATCACTATGGCACGTGTGTCGTATCAATTCCGACAACGGATCGATGTCACACATGCTTAACATAAATTCCGTATTGAACGAAACTACCAAAAACACACATTTTTACCACGACACGATAAAATGCAATTTCTCAATCGAACAGCGACAGCGAACGTGTCTATTATCTTATCTCGACAGCCTCGATTCTTGCCGTTTATTCCATCGTTTCGATTACTTTTCGTTCAACGTACAGATTTCGCTTCTAACTAATGCACTATTCATTTTTCTCGTTTCGAACATATTGAAAATTGTGAGATTTCTAATTTTCTGGATATATCCGGTATCGTTCAAAGTTAGAATGGAATTTAATATTTGACACTTACCTCTGCTACTACCGTCGGGTCCTCGGAGGATGGTACACTCCTCTATTGTACCAAAGGTAGTGAACAACTGTCTGACATCGTCTTCTGTTTGTTGCTTGCTGAGCATTCCCACGAACAGCTTTCTGTCTGCGGGTCGGCCGCGTGTTGGAATAGAGAAAACAGAGAAAAGAAACAAAGAAACATGTTAGTTGGTGTATCGTGAACGGGCCCGGTTTCATTTATAGCGCTTTTTAGGCATTAAAAGAGATTTTGCGGCTAACACCGAAAACGACAAAGTTACACGGTTACACCAGCATCCATCATCCTAAGGGGAAGGAGGTAAGGGTAATAAATACACATATATATGTACATCTATATATTTTCATGTCTATATATATATATTTTTCTTTTCTCATATATATATATACGTATGTAAATATATACCGGGTGTCCAAGTTTTTTTTCCCCGATCAAACTTCGTCGGTGTGTTCTATGGGTATGTGTGAGAGAAAAATGTTATACGAACATAGGTCGTTTGAGGCTTCGTTGAAAAGTAATAACGATAATACGAATTGCGGTTGCTGCGATACAAGACAAGAATTACACCGACAAAAGTTACATTCAACACCTTCCAACGACTACAGATCGCCAAAAACACAGACAAACAGTCTAGATAAACATCGTAAACATCGTTGAACTATTCCTATTTTGCGTCGTAATAACCGCCCACCCGTTATCGTTCCCTTCGTATTACCGTTATAACTTTGTAACTAAGCTTCGAACTACATATGCTCGTATAACATTTTCCTCTCACCTATACCCATAGAACACACCGGCAAAGTTTGATCGAGAAAAAAACTGGGACACCCGGTATACGACGTTGTAGACATATACATATATATATTTATATATGATCTGTGTTATTATATGCAAATTTACACGGACACGGTTGCCTACACGGCTGTATACTTCTGATTACATTTAAATGATAATTAGAAACTGCATAAATGTATGTGCATACATGTATGCGTTTCTCATACGTGTATACGTAATAGATAGAAAAAACGATAAAGATAACGAAATATTGTTTTTTTTTTTTTGGTAATATCGACATCGGTAATAATACGAAGCACGGTGTATACGAGTGAGAAACAGAGTGACGATAATGTATATTTCAACAGGGATTAGAAGGTAGTAAAAGTAACGGTAACAAAAGGAAACGAAAAATAGTATTTCAAACAATTCCAAATCCTACATCCTACGCCACAAGCCGAAGAAACAGATGGAGAACAAACGGGGATCGCGTAAAAAATCGGGTGGGGCGTACAAGCGACTCAACTACGGTGCGAAACTTTCGACGGTGTCGTCTACAATTCTTTCTCTCGATTTTCTGCAAAATTACACTGTATTCGGAATGATAATTTTTGTCCTTTTTCTTTTTTGGAATGCTACTTTGCAACCGATCTGTAGACGCATCAACGAGTGTTCCGCGTGGTGCTGAGGTCAACATATCGCTTATAAAGGGTCACACGTCACTTAATGGTTCCTCTTTTAACCATCTGCAGCTATTTCTAACTTCTGTGCAAGAGTGACAAGCGAAACGAAATCGATCTACAAATTGCCACGTTATTTAGCGTTTCACGATGCACGTTTCAGCCTGATTGTGTCTCTTTTCCATCGAGTGAATACCGAGCTGTAAAATAGTACGGTAAGTCGCTGAACTTTTGAAGGCACAGTTCAATTATGCTAGACAGAAGGATTTATGTGAACGACATTAATCTATTTTAACTGTGACTGCCTTTCTTGAATGCAATTTAGACGTCTTTTTGTGTCACAAAATTCAAAACATTATGCAAATTTTGATCACAAAAGTTATCCAAATTCGGTTAGTTGTTCAAATAATAAATGAAAAAAAAACCGTTCTGTACAATTTGTACAAAAACTACTATGCGCTACTGAAAAATTCTGTCGCATGTGAAAAATATAAATATCGTTTCAATAAAAAAAATTCTTCTCTATCAATACTTTCTACCTGGTACCATTCCAAAGTTTAGCGATTTATTCAAGAATCGTTCCGCGCAAACGTTACCATTTTCACTCGCTAAAATGCATTTTACAATTTCGCTCAAACTGAATTCAATTTTCTCGTCCCACTGCCAATTTACCAGACAAACAAAGGTAAACGTTTCTCCCTTCCCTTTTAGAAATATCTGCACTAAACGTGTATTCTGTGTGTACGTGTACCCCTGTATAATAACCATAATCATATTCATAATAATAAGAATAATAATAATAAATAATTGTGGGTGTGCAAGATCGATTAGGACTACGTGACAAAAGATATAACGTGGTTAATGGGGAATTTGATAAGTAGACAAATGGTGAGGGGAGAACTGGTAAAACGGAAGTGATCGGATGGGGCAAAAAATGTTTTCATATAGAATCATATCTAAGTAATACAATAAGATAAATGTACATCATAATGACATCATAATCAGAAAATATTTACAAAGGTGATAAAAAACACATCGACAACGAACGAGACAACACA